CAATCTAAAGAGATTTGTAATGAGAGACTGAATCAGTAATTGAAAGACTTTCAACAACAGAAAATAAAAATCACAAGTCCAAATGGTTTTACTTGTGAATTCTATAAAATATTTAAAGAATGAATAATAATCCCCCTCAAACTCTTCCAAAAACTAAAAGTAACATTCCTGACTCATTCTATGAGGCAATCATTGCCCTGATAACAAACCTAGATGAAGTTATGACAAAAACAAAATTATAGATCAATATCAATGTGCATACAGATGTAAAAAATTCAACAATATCAGCAAACTGAATCCAACAGCCTGTAAAGATAATTATAACACCATGATCAAGTGCCTATCCAAGTGCCTATCAACTGAAAACTAGAAAACCAGATTAATAAAACATGATAAAATGTCCAGACATAAAAAGAAACCAATTGCTGATTCATGGTAAATATATGAACCTTAAAAAACAATATTCTATGTGAAACAAGCCATGCATAAAAGGAAAAATAATCTTGTTACATTTATATAAAATATCTAAAAGACAGAAGGTAGATTTGAAGTTGCTAGGAGCTGTAGGAAGAGAAGCAATGGAGAGTTATCTCTTAACAGGTGAAGAGTTTCTATTTGGAGAGATAAAAAAGTTTTGGAAATAGTGATAACTTCCTAATATTATAAAGGGAATTAATTGTAGCAAATTGTCCACTTAAAAATAGGAAAATTTTTATCAGTAAGTGTAGAAGAAAAAAAAATAGAAAAAAAAAAGAAGAAAAATATCTTAAGCCCCAAATCTAAGTCCCCACCTCAGGAATCTAGAAAGGCACAAAATAAACCTAAAGAAAAGTAGTAGGAAATAATAATAATAATAAAAAAAGCAGAGATCAAGAAAAATAAAAACAGAAAAATAAACAAAAAGCTGCTTCCTTGAAAAGGTTAACAAAATTGAGACATGATCAGGAAGTGAGAGAGAAAACAATAGTAACCACTATCAAGACTGAAATAGTAGATATCACTACAGATCCTACAGACATTAAGATGAAGGAATACAACAAACATCCCTATGTGAATAAATTCAACACCTTGGATGAAATGGTCCAATTCTTTGAGAAACACTGACAATATAAAATATATTATTTGAATAATCCTGTAACAACTCAAGACATTGAATTTGTAATTTAAAAACTCCCCAAAAAGGAAAATCTCCAGGCACAGATGGCTTCAATGGAAATTCTGCCAAAACTTTATAAATACCAATTCTATTCAATCTTATCCAAAAAAGAACAAAAAGAATAATTTTCTATTTTATGACCAATACCAAATCTAATCAAAGATAATTACAAAAAAGAGAAAGAAAACCTAGAGACTAATACCCCTCACAAAAATAAATCCAAAATTCTTAACATTAACAAATAGATTCCAATAATATATAAGAATTATACATCTTCACAAAGTGAGGTTTATACCAGGGATGCAAAGCTGGTTCCATAAAAATCAAAGTAATTCACTATATTAACAGGGTAAAGAAAAATCATATGATCACATCAATCAGAAAACAAATCATTTGATAAAATCCAACACACATTTATGATTAAAAACTCTCAGAAAACAAGAGACAGGCATCAAAAAATTATCGTTATATTTAATGGCAAAAAGAAGAGAGTGAGTTGTTTCACTTATTTATTCAGGATAGTGCTAGATGTTGTAGCCAGTGCAAAAAGAAGGTATACAGTTAGGAAAGGAAGGGAAAAAAATCGTCCATATCTGATTGTTCTTAGAAAACTAAAGTAAATGTGTTCAGAAAAGTCACATAATAAAAGAGCTCAGAAAAGTCAGAGATGCAAGGAATATATACAAATAAAAATCAGTTTTTTTAGCAATGAGTTTGTGGACACAATATAATACCATCTACAATCACACAAAAAATTGAAAGGAAATAGATCTAATAGAACAAATTCAGCAAATACATGCCAAGAACTATAAAATGCTTACTTAAGAAATCAGTGAAACTGTAAATAAATGGAGACACATGGTATGGTCATGGATTGGAAAGTGTAATAGTAAAGATGTCAGTTTCCCTCAAGTTGATGTAGAGTTTTAAAGCAATTCCTTTCAATTTCCCAAATATTTTATAAATGTATACAAAATTATTCTGAAATTGACGAGCTAAGGCAAAGAAACTAGAATATCTAAAATAATTTTGAAAAATAATAAATTACAAGGGAGTGAGTTTTTTCAGTTTCAAGACTTACTAGAGGTTGATTATTCCTTATCTGAAATGCTTGGAATCAAAAGTATTTCTGCTTGTATTTTTTTTCAGATTTTGGAATTTACATATGCATAATGAGATATCTTAGGGATGGGACCCAAATCTAAATCTGAAACGTTTATGTTTCATATGTATTTTAAAATACATACTTAAAGGTAATTTTATATAATATTTCAAATAGTTTTGCGCATAAAAAAAGTTTCACAGTGTACAATTTCCCACTTATAGTGCCATGTTGGTGCTCAAAAGCTTTTGGATTTTAGAACATTTCAAATGACAGATTTTTGGTTTAAAGATGCTTAACCTGTAGACAGCTTTAATCATCATGACTAAGTGATATTGGAAGAGGGATAGAAATAGATCAATAGAACAGAATACTCAGAAAATACCACACAAAACACACAACTGATTTTCAATAAAGGTGCAAAGGCAGGCAATTCAATGGAGGAAAGCCTGTTCAAAATATAGGGCAGGAACAACAAATCCTACTATTATGTACAACTAATGCACTAATAACAATTGTAGAGAAGAAAGATATATAGGGCAGGAGTGAATGAATATCCAGGTGAAACAATAAGCTTTACCTAACTCTCAAAAATCATACAAAAATTAACTAAAAAATATACTAAGGACTTAAATACAAAACTACAAAACTTTCTGAAAAAAAAAATCTTCAGGTTTTAGGGCTCTATAGAGAGTTCCTACACTCAACATCCAAGCATGATCCATAAAAGGAAAAACTAATAAGCACTGCTGTCTTTCTAGGCTAGGAAAGTCAAGTATCACTTGTATATACCATACAGCCTTAAGGTCAGTGACAGATTTACCTGCAGATACATACATATCCCAGTTCTGTGTCTGAGGGTCCCTCTGGCCTAGTCAGGGATTTGAGAGCATAAAGCTGGCAGGTGAGCAGGAAAGGCTTCAATCAGGCACTGACAGCACTGGTAGTGATACAAAGATCAGGTAAGTAATGATACTAAGTAATTAAGAATGTATAATTAAGAGCATGCCATGATTGACACAACTGAACTAAAGCTGCATGATTAGTCTAAGGAATTGCTAGGACAACTAAGTGTGTTTTGAGAGAACAGCAAGAAAAGTCCGGAAGAGTTTCATGAACACTGAAAGACCATCTGATAAAGGAGGCTCAAATCTGATGCTTAGAGATAAAATAGAAAGATTTTGCCTAAAGGAATACATACAAGTTAATGAAAATCTGCTGGGTCTGAAGCTGGAAGTATAACAGTGCAGTTGAGAACACAAGACAAGGAATGAGGCTTTCCAGGGAAATGCCCAGGAAGTTTCTGCAGCATTCCATCCCATAGAGGGCGAAAGCAGAATGAAGCTGCTCTCTTCCTGGCAACCTTTTAAAGAAAACCAGCCTATCTCTACAACAGGAATCCTAGGACTTATCTGAAGGAGTGCTTATGTAAGTACTGAAAAACAGGAGACAGGATCAATGATATCCTGATTCTTAAAGCACATTCATGGCAAAACATGGACTAGGACCAGATATCTTTACTTCTTTTCTGTAATAGACTGTTTTCTCTTTTTGTACTTTGTGTCTGCTCCTTATAGCATGATACAATGAGGTGGGGAAAAGTGAAATTTCTACCCCTTAAAATGGAAGGAAAATTATCTTGAAATCCCAACCCCAAGGATTTTCAATAGTACAGGGTCTTCTCTAAAATTTCTAAGGTGTGGGAAGTGGATACTGTTCTAATGGCTTTTGATTAAAGGAAAGGCTTTCTGGTATTCCACCTCTCCACACATGGTGATAGCCTGACATTCAAACTCAGTCATACTCCGCAAAACCAGCTTATCACAGTGAGCACCTCCTACCATGATTAAAGAGGCTGCCTTAATTAATCTACTTTTTTTTTAAAGAGAGAATTTTTTAATATTCATTTTTTTAAGTTTTTGGTGGACACAACATCTTTATTTTTTTAATGTAGTGCTGAGGATCGAACCCAGGGCCCTGCACATGCCAAGCGAGTACGCTACCACTTAAGCCACATCCCCAGCCCATCACTTATTTTTTAGTTGGTTTTATTGTGTCCTCTTTCACTAGCAATTTCATCTAGTAATTGTTTTAGAGAGCAATGTTTCAAATCAAAAGAACAACATTGTTCAACTACATAAAAATTGCATATCACTGGAGCACCTTAGGATCTGGTAGTGACTACAGAGATCATTTAGGTTCCCCAGCATATTTGTCAGAGAATAAACTAAAGCCAAGAGGATATGCTCCAGGCAACTTAGTCAATAATAAGTGAAAATAGTATCTAAGATTTCTGCCAAATTTCTGGAGAATCAGTTTCTTCCTTTATAACTATCCTATATAAATAAATAAGATAAAGGAATAGCCTTAATAAAAGCAAACTACTAATATGTAGAAGCTGTTAATGTTCATTTTCTCAAAGTCCACTTGAATGTCAACAACGCATCAGAGTGCAGAGTGGTTGTAATCTTGGGGACTTAGGAGTCATTAGGATTATTGTGTGAAACTCCACTTACCTGCTTTTTCTGTTTTTTTTCTGATACTTAGGAATATCTGTTGAGAATTTCAACGCACTGTGCATCATTATAATGTTATATATGTTCTAAGAGTAGACGGAAGTGAAATAAAAGAAAATTTATTAGCATTAAAATTATATTAGGATTATTTTGTAAAGAAGAAGAAAACAAACAAATTCTATAGCTTCCAGTGCTTGCTTGCAGTAAAGAAAACATGAGACAGAGATTACTGATTTAACAAATGGATGACTTTATTAAGAGAAGGACAAGATTGTTGTTTATCTCAGTCAAACCATCCAGGAAAACAAAGCACACATACTTATACAATACTTTGGTTTGAAAATTAGTTATAACATCAATGTTAAACCTGATGTTGGAAGAAACAAATGGGACATAAGGTGTAAAATACAAATCATGAAAACACAAGCTTGCATAGATGAAGTAATGTAGATATACAAGTGGTATCCCAGGAAGGCCTGAGCACTGGAGTGCCTTGATGATGTTGACCAACTCAACCTTCCAAGACACAGGAAAGGAACCAGCACCATGTTTCTCAAACGTCCTCAGTGAGGTTATGAGCAGGAACAATTTGTGCTGTATGAAAGTGAATTGAAATAGACTGTGTCCATCAGCCTAGTTCAGGTGGGCACATACATACCCACCAGTACCCACCACAGGTCACCTTAAGGCATCCACAAAGTGTCCCTCACAGTTTCTCCAGATAGGCATGTGGTTTGAGTTGGTCTTTTGTTCTCTGTCCTTAGACAGGTAACTCTATTTACCAAGGCTCTGTTCAGCTTTGTTAACAGCTATTTCAAACCTGCTTTTGCCTCAGGCTTGCCTATCAACTGATGAGCACTTGAGATAACATTGACTTTGTTTCATAAATATACCCACACTCTGAATATCAAAAGGGTTCTGAAAAAAAATCTTAAGTGCCTCACACTATGTAGTCTCTCTCAAGAAATGACTTTTCCAAATTATAAGACAAATGACAGTATCTCCTCAAATTTCCTGAGCAACCTGATTTATGAGCAGTCTCTTGTTCTTTTTAGTTCAGTACCTTTTCAAAATATATATTGGGCCAGGATGAATTCTTAGGAGAAACCCCATATTACAGAGAATTCTCATTTTGGAACATTATTTTTATATGTGATTTCCCCACCGAACCATCTTATTATTTACAGTGTTTCATGACATGAATACTGGTTGTCTGGATGAGGCAGATGAGAAATATAGCTACTTCTGAGAAAGGGCATTTGGTTTTCAGTTTACTGCAAAGGCTAAAGTTAAAGCCTATGGGAATTTCAGAAACCAATTCAATCGGAAGTACAAAACTTCTGATAACTAAAACTCTCTAACCAAATTTAAGAGCTAGAAAATATTTTAGCAATTATGGTCTGAAATTAACTGCAACAAAAATGTGGCCTATCATAGCATAGTCTCTCAACTATCATCTCATCACTGTTCTCAATCCCCGCCTGCTTTTTTTTTTTTTTAAGAAATATTACTCAAACCCTGTCTTTCAATTCTTTTATTTTTAATATTTGAACCTCAGCAAGGAATAATAGGCACTTGGTGAAGGTGTTCCATCTCCCACCATCTTGACAAGGTCACAGTGAGGAGGACAAGTGTTTGGCAAGGTCACACTTGTGGGAAGCCAAAACCATGAGACCCTTTTTTATGTAATTGGGACTGTTTATTTTATATTCAACCTGACAGAAGACATTCGTATACTTTAAATTCTAGATGGTCAAGAATATAGCAGGTGGTTCTTGACTTAAAGGCTGTTTTACTATCTCTCAGGACATTGAGGACAAAACAGAAAAATATAAACAATCATTCTGGGAAATGTTACAGGAACTCTAGGCACCACAATTGATTATATCAACTAAGAATCCAAGTTCATGTCTTCTGTCTCTCAAGTCTAAGCAGATAGTTATCATGCCTATCGCATGGAGCCCACCATATGTAGCCTATTTAATTAAAGATAGGTTATAGTATTCATTCAGGGGAGAAAAGGTTAGTAAAAATATATTTTCCTTCTAATAGACCCTCCTTTACTTTACATAAGGATTTATGATAAGCATAGTTAATGTTAGCGGCAGGGGAATTACATACAGAGCCTGCCCTTTAGTTAAAGATTAGTAAGGAACTGCTGTACTTTGACTAAGGCAAATGGAAACTCTCTGAGAAAGCAGCTCAATCAGTTTTATGAGAATAAATGTAGACATTTTTAGATGCTTTTAGAATATATTATAAGATTTTTATAAGGGGACTTTTAGATGGGATCTTAAATACAGGTGTATTTTATTACTGATTGGTTAGGAGAGAGAGTCTGGTTATGTAGTTTGGCTTCTGTTAAATAAGGAAATGTCAAATCCTGGGAATTGTAAATTGATGCATTTTATTAATAATTCTGTACCCATAATGATAAGAAAAAATTAGAATAAAAGGAGATAGAGAGAAAGCAGCTGACAGCTCTCTCTCTGGAGATTGCTCCAATGAAAGGACTCCTTGTCTCATCCCTTGCGCAGATGCCACTCATCCTTCAGGACCCCCTGGACCCCACTGGGGCAGGACCCTGGCAGGCGCTAAGTTGCACAATTAATCCTGCTCTGATCTGAAAGCTGAAATCACTATGCTATGAAAAGTTATTTAAAGAGAGAAAAATTATTTTCTACTTTGCTGAGAATACACAAAAGCATATTAATTCTATCAGGAATATGTTAGTAGGAAGTATTCATATGGGAAAAAGAATGGCTTTTAGGCTAGATATTTCCACAAGTTAACATGATTACTTACATGATTGTGTTAGTTTATGGTATCAAGTAGAAACTGTAGAAACCACTCCATTGTCAATTCTCATAATTCTTATCATAGGAAAGGTCTCCTGGATAATTTTCTTCAGATTAGAAAATCTCCATTTCTAGTAAATGTCTACTCTGTTTTTTGTTTATTGTTTTTTTTTTTTGGGGGGGGTTGGTGTTTATGGTAAGCATTTCAGTACACAAAAGTAATGGTAAAATTCTTACACACAACCTGAATGTCTTCATAGCACAACAGAACTTTTGGAAATATCTTCTACACAGTTACCATCAAATAGGAGGACAGTAAACTCTCAATTATTCAGAAAGTGATTATCAGGTTTGAAGGATCTGGTCAGGAATCTCTCCCTCCTTTTATGTTTTTGGTCATGTCTCTGCTATTTTAGTGGACTGAATTCAGTGTCATGTCAGCCACAGCACAGTGGGAAAGAGGGTCCAAAGTCTCAATGACAAGGATGCTTAGAGATCAACTATGAATTTTGTATCTCAATTAACAGTTGACCACTAATCACATATAGAAGTACATTAAGCTTAGTCAGAGTCAAACTAATTTAAGGCAATACTGCTCCTCATAGACATTGCTGACATGAAGTGCAGGATACATCAGAAAAGCGACTCTGTAGTGTTAAAATTTTACCAATTTACTCCTACCTTCTTAACTTTTCTAGAATAAATTTTAGCCATTTCTGATGACACTTGTTATATGCTAAGGGCAACAACAGCCTCTGGGTTCATCCCTTTAATAGTGTTACATATCATCATGGATAAAAAAAGATTCTTCCACCAAGAATTTGGATGACATTGTACGCCATGCAGCATTAATAGGACAGTCTATAGTTTCCTTCTCTGCCCATATTACCTACCATGGGTGAAGAAGGAAAATGTACTCTATCAACAGTAAGAAAAGCAAGTATGGCTTTAAGACACACAGGCACCAACAGATATGAGAGAAAATGGGACTGTTTTAGAGTCACTTCTCTGACTATGAGCAGTAAGTAAGGGACGCAGTATGTACTTTAAAAATCTTTTCATTTTTTTTCTGAAAGATTTGATTTTTTATGAATACTTCTAAAAATCCTATACTATCAGAATATGGCACACTATATACAGTGAAATCTACATGAACAGTGTACTCTTTCAATGTTAATACTCCTTACACAAATGCTATCCCCCTCAAAAGGGAAAAAGCCTTTGACTTCACTTTATTCTGTTCTCAGTCCTTCTAGCTATTTATAAGAGGAGTCTCACTCCTTTATTAGGCTCTAAATCTTAACCAATAATCATAATTATGTTCCAAAACAATCATCACTGAGTAATCAATCTTCTTGATATTTCCCAAAGTAACTACTACATTAAAGGCAACAAATTAAACAAAAATCAAGGCCTTAAAATGTTAACCACTCATGTGGTAAACTGAATGCACCATATAATAGTAGGTATTCCTGATTTGGCACAAGACAAATTTAGAAAATATTTGATAAAGAAAAATAATTATCAGTTTAAAGATACTTATTTTTATACTAACACATTCTGAGAGAAAGGGATGGAGAGCTGTCAATAATTTTTAATTAATGCATTACCTAGTTCTTTCTCCAGCCACATCAAACAAGAGGGAAATGGGTTGGGTTCAGAATTTTCTAGAATGGTTCAACAGAATATAAGGCCCAAGGTCATGAATTTTAGCATATGTTGAACTAGACCCAAGGAGCTCATACCATTCATACCATTCTGAAAAGATTTTACTCCTGGAAGCACTTATACATATCTTTCTTTTCTAATTTAGATGTTTGTCTATAATCAAAATATATATATTTAGCTGTGGGGAGTTGCAGTTCAATTAGTATGCCACCAGGTATTTTGAAGTTATTTAAGAAATAGTAATTCAGCAGTATGTAAAAATCACTTTCTAAAAATCTCAATGTTCTTTTACAGCAGGTAAAACAACTATCTAGCCTCCCAATAAAATAATTATGTCTAACAATGGCTTGGACACTGGAGTCAATTTTTTTTTCTTTTTTAAGTCAGAGCATTTAATGTGACCATTATCTAACCCCTCTACCAGGTAACAATTTACAAAAAGGTAGGGAATGAGAGTGAAAGATAAGGCTCCACACATATTGTACTCATTCAGCAATATTGGGGTTAATGGGATCTGGCTTCCAGAGAACAGAAATCTAGAAACAAAGGTTTTCCCAAGATTGGAAGTATTCATTTACATCACAACATTAAAACGTAATACATTGGGGCCTAAAAATTAAATTGCATGTGTTCCAGTGGCAGGAACATAAAAAAAAGTGTAAAATGCTTACACATTTATGTAAAAGTGACAACGTAAAAAGAGAACACAGTGATGAATGTCTGGCAGTTCATTAACAGACAGTTGTTAATTGCCTCTATAATCTCAAAGATAATCATTACATTATTTGAATGAGAAAGAATGAGGATATAATTGGGAGAATTAGATTTCTATCTCCTTATTCACTGGTAAATAATTACAGAAACTCTTAAAAATTGTTTGCTTTACAAAAAAATAAAATAAAGACAAAATATTTCAAAGACTAATCTTTAAAAAACCTAAAAAACAAAGTAACAAATTTTCAATACTGATGAATTGGCTTGTCACAAGGGCTATATCACCTTTGCTCACTAAGATAGCTAAAACAAACAGCATTCTGGTTAAGTGTTAAATGGTCTAACATTTTTTTGACTAAAGTACGTTCAGTTAACATTTTACAATAATAAATATGAATGAATGACATACATGAGAAACAGAAGAAATGTAGAATTTTTAAAGCGAAATTGATCATTGTATGAGATAGAAAAATAAACATTTATAAAATTAAAATATGGCAAATGATGTTGCCCATTTGCCTAAGTTGATATCAAATAAAAATACAATTGCTGTTTTTCTTTAAAGTTACCATTAAAATATTTTAAACACGAAGCAAAACCACAGGGCAGAAAAACAAAAAATATAGCATTATTTTAAGTCAACAAGGCTAATCTGGATATTGAAACCACTATGGAATTTGACTTAAGGCTAGACTTCCATTTTCTCTCCCCTTCTCTACATGAAGATTTTTCTATATTCACTTCACTTCACCATATTCAAAACCCTGTTATCTTCCCTTTCCTGCATTTCTCTAAAATGACTATATCCCTTAAGGTTTTTTTTTTCTTCTTTCCAGGTTACCATATGCCTAAAACTTAAATTTCAGGTGCGTTATACTCAAGTTCCTATAATATAAAAACTTTATGAAAGTAATTATCTTTCTCAAAATGAGATATTCAAATATACTGAGAATCTGCTCTAAATAGCTTCCTGATACTGCCCAACTTTAAAGACCATCTAAAAAGATAAGGCAAAAAGAAGGTAGTTCCCAGTAGGGTGATTAACAACTTTTTCTTTAGTCACCTATATATTTCATTCCTAAAGAAAACACTATTGAAATGCAAAAATGTCAGATTACATACAATAAAAAAGAAGAGCAAGTCAAGTAATGGAAATTATTGTATATAAATATATAGATTGATTGCCACTTATGTTAACTAAGTATTATGGGCAAATAAACATATTTTATGAATCAGTTACTAGACAAAGACACTGAATATCTTGAAGAGGGACCTAAAGATCTTCTACAAAGTAATACAAGGCCCACTAATGACCCTTTATAAATATGAAGAGTCAAACTCTTGGATTTAAAAAAACACTATCAAATTCAACATCATGTTGAATTAATTTAATTATTGACAGGTGCACAAAACGTTACTGAGACATTGCCAACAAATACTGCTGTCTTTTAAAGAAGAAAGAGAACCTTTGATCTACAGCCAGAAATATTGACATCACTTATGCAATCAACTTCCAATTTAATTTCCCTTGGCTCTACAAGTGAACTTAAAACAAGGACGGGATATAAAGGTTTTCACTTATGAAAAGCTGACTGCACAAACCAAGTTAAAGTTTCAGAGAATTAAGTTTTTGTAAATAAAGGGTCCACTGCCCAGGGGCCTCAGAAAGCCTTGCTACTAAGAAAACATCCGCACAGTGTTTAAAAATGGTGTCTAGGCCAGTTTTCCCAAGAGGGCCTAAAAGGGTACAAAAAACCTCTATGGTCCATGTATTCAGAATAACATTTTTCAAATTCTCCAGATGTCTCTATTTTAAATACTTCGTAATTATGACTTTTTTATTTTCCCAAAGAAAATAAAAAGCAAAGGCCCTATCCTTCAAAAACATCACACACTAATGCACCAAAAAGCTGCTTCTTATACTCGTATTTTGCATTGCATCCAAATGTCATTTTTCACTCTGATTATTTATCTCCATATAATTCTAACTGCTAACTAAAGCTTCATCCCTAGATAACCAATACTCCATACATACCAAATAAAATGGCATCTTATAATTCCCTTAAATACTATATCTCAGGAAGTATATCCAGCACAAAGGTGGCTAATATTCAGAAGCTGCATTTTCTTATACTGCCCAAGTGATGGAAAATAACCAAAATATTTGAAATGAATTGAAATCATTTATAGTCAGAAAAACACTTGAGAAAAAAATCCCAGGAATGCAAACAGGCAGAAAATAATAAATGTGGGATGAATTCTGTATTATCCAGTAATATTTGCTACAGTGAGTCCATTTTCAAGGCAGATTCCTAGGTTTTTTAATTTTTTTACTGCTTGTAATGGAAACCTGGGGAGGGAAAAAGAAACAAAATTAAGGGAAAAAAATCTCTGAAATTCATTTTTTCTCCTTGCCCAAGCAAGATAATTTATCTTTATTTCAAGAGGGTCCTCTTTGCTTTGCTCTTGATTATAAAATATTCATATCCAGAGAGTTATTGTGTTATTTTAACATTATGCACAAAATATATGTCAAAGACAATGAGGCACCCCCCCCCAAGTGATGCATGTATAATTTGAAAAAGAGAAATATGAACAACTTTCAGTTAAATCAAGGATGATAAAAATGCCACCAATTGATGGAAACTGTGATGAGGGTGTTGTTTTGATAAAGACATTTATAATATCCAATATCTTTAAATGTATTTAATTGATGGAAACTGTGATGAAGGTGTTGTTTTGATAAAGACATTTATAATATCCAATATCTTTTAAATGTATTTTGTCTTACTCTCAAAATTGGATGAATATCAGAAAGGGGGAAAGGAAGCTTTTAAAAATGCAAATGTCTAGCACTCTTTACCAGGACATTCTGATTTAATTAGTTTAGAAAAAACAAGAAACAAAGTCATCTGTAAAGAGATATTTTTCTTTAATGACAGTTGAAACAGTAACTTAAAGAAATGTGGGAAGACTACAATTAACTTTGGAAAAGGATAACAAAAAATATCATCTAAGAAATCTTAAAAAATTGTAGGGACAAATTAATTCTGTCAATTGATAAGATTCAATGTTTAAAAAGTCCATTGAATCTACAAACTTCTTGCATGTATTTTATTTTATATGACAACTTTGACGACTCTGAATCAAATATTTAGATTGCCTCTATTCTGCAGATGAGGAAGTTAATATATAACAAACTACCTTTTTATTATTTGAAATTACAACTACCAAAAAATTCATGTAAGTGAATGCATATCCTTGAAATATACAATCAATTACTAAATACAACCATTTTAATGGTTTATTCCAATTTAGATGCTCTTATTTTTCTGCATTTTCTTTACTCCATCTTTTTTTGCATAAAATTTTATATGGTACATATGTATGCTTATTTAAAACCTAATTAATACAGTCATGGGCAGAAGAGAAATAACAGTCAATACAAGTTGAGCATCTCTTATCAAAAATGCTTGGGACCAGACCTGTTTCAGATTTTAGAGGTTTTCAGATTTTGGAATACCTATATAGACTTTATTAGCCAAGAAAATCTAGTCTAAAAATATGAAATCTAAAATGCTCCAAAAATTCAAAACTTTTTGAATACCATATCAACACTCAAAAATAGTTTCACATTTTAGATTCTGGGATTACAAATATTCTATCTATGTAGAGAAAGCAGTCCAACAAATCTTAATGTGGTCATGATAACCCTTTAGGAATCTGTTGAAACATTTGCACTCAATTTAAGGTGCTTTTTTTTATTTTTTGCATTTTTTTGTGTGTGTGTTGTAATAAAGAACAACACAATGATCTACTACAGAAAGAACTTACTTTCCACTCTAGTAATCAGAAGATATCATTTGATTTTCCAATTTAACAAAAGGTTTATTAAAAAAAATTCAAAACCTGACCATATACACTCTTCTTACCTTTATGAGAGGAATCCGATTTTGAGAAATGGCGTGTAGAATTATGCTGGTTTGTAAAATGAGTATAATCCAGACCCTCGGCCTCTGTGTTTGTAGGTGGTGGTGGTCTGAAGGAAGCCAAAATTTAAAGACATATCAAAGTAATGGTTACTACAATTCTACCTCTCATTGGGTTACATGGCAAACCTTTTTCTGTAGAAATGAAAAGCCAAAATGCTTTAGAAATCTCACTTTAGTTCCTGGATAGTTGCATGGCCTTATTTGACCCTACTTTGTTTTGATGCGCACAATGCAGTCAAAACAAATATTTTCTCAACACCTCACTTAATATTTGTGGGGCACTGTGCTAGAAAAACAAAGATAAAAGAGATATAACTGCTGGTATTAATAAGTGTACTTTGTCTCAGTAGATTTTACCAATAAAGAGTAAAAAATGGAAAAAAAACAATGGATGATTAGAAAGTAATAAAGTTAAACAAAAAAGAAAAGGAAGGAAGGAGAGGGGAAAGGTGACAGGCAGGTTAAAAAGGGATGGAGGGAAGGAGGGAGGGAGGGAGGCAGGAAACTTCAATAAAACTTAAAATTTCATGAGTAAAGTTCCTTTATCCACTAGGTGGCAAAGCAGATCTTAGTACATTTGCAACTTTCAATGTAATACATTTGCAAATTCTTATGTAAAAGAAAACAAAAAACTAAAAAATAATTTTTGTCATTCTAAACTTTTATTATTTTAAACACTTAATATAGATTTTTTGTAAAAACTGGCATTGATGAAGATAGTGAACAAAACCTTTCATTATTTTTTTTTGTTTCCCAAAATTATACTCAAATTTTGTGTCAAAACATGGAACCTGATGCAGTTAAAGGTGAAAGGTTGTATTTTGTGTAATTATAAGGCATAAGTATCCTGAGTTTGTCAAGTTGTAGTCAGTTTAGTACAGTGGGCTCTGTAATATAAAAATAAACACAAATGTGTTCAAATTCCTTACCCTATCCTTAGCATTAAAGTTCTCCCTGGGTATTTAGCATCTGGAATAAGTCAGAAATGGATGTAAACTTGTATATATAGTTAGGACTGTGCTGTAGGTTCTATACGATTATCTCAACAAACTTTCAGGACAAGTCTGCATAGTAGGAAGCCTGCACATATTTTAGATTTAGATTAGGTTGGATGAGGTAATGATCTAAGTTCACATAGCTGTTAACAATAGCAAAGTCAAGACTTGATCAAATGGACTCTAAATCAATGCTCTGAACTACGACAGAAGGACATAGGTGTTTGCTTTTACCAATAGAGCAGCTGTGTTTGCAAACAAGAGAGATCCATATCTATACACACATATGCATGTGTGAAAATGTATTTTCATAAGATATGAATGTTTTATATTTTATATATCTCAATTTGAGTACAGTAAATGTGGCATTTTTCATTTCTCATTGAACCATTTGTTTAGAAATATTACAAATGAAAGGAATGGTGCTTTTTTTTAAATATTACCGGGCATTTATAGAAAGACAGAAGCCAAGTGGGACTCACAAAAAAACTCCCTATTGGCTAGACAATAACTCATTAAGAAAAAGAATTTTAACCCTGCAAACAGAGCAAAGGATGTCAACGATCCTCTGGACTTTCCTTGTAAGGATCAACAAATCACTTTAAAATGCCCTCAGTTTTCTTGGTGTTTGGTTCTGTTTAGTTTCAGTTTATACAGAAAAGAACTATTAGCTTATTACTTGCAGGGATCTTACCAACTTTTTTTGTTGTTGTTGTAACAAAAATGGTTGTTACTAAGTTAAGGGTATTTATAAGTAAAGTTAGAAATAATGTCATTGATCAATAATTTGTAGTTAGCATTGTATTTTGATTACCTGTTTCCTACTGTGCTCATAAAATGATTTGTATCATTTTGTTGTTGTTGGTTTTGGTACCAGAGAACGAACTCGGGGACATTCAACCACTGAACCACATCCCCAACCCAGTTTTTGTATTTTATTTAGAGGCAGAATCTCACTGAGTTGCTTAGCGCTGCACCATTACTGAGGCTGGCTTTGGAACTTGCAATCCTTTTGCCTCAGTCTCCTGAACCACTGGGGATGATTTGTATCTTTAAGCAAGCGATATAGATAAATGTCATCAGAATTCACTTCAGAAGTCACTTCTTCAAGAAACCTGCCTGGACACCCAAACAAGGTTAGGTGTCTCCTTATGCTCTTATACACACTATGCTTTTTTATCTATGGAGCTTAACATAATAATAATAGTTACTGAAATAACTGTTTAGACAATAAACTTCATAACAGCAAGAAACAATTCATTCTTTTGGACTGCTGCTTACCCCTGTTCTGAACAATTATTAAGGTGTTCAACAAATATTTAATAAATGATTAAATGGAGATAAATATAATTCACATACATAAGAATGTACAAGGAACTAAATGAGATTTATAAAATCTTTAGAACTTTCTAAGGTAAACCTGCAGGCAAAGTATCAAATAGTATTTCCAGTATAGAGTTATACAGGTAAAACAATTTGGAATTTGGGTTATAACTTTTCCCAATTACAAAGAGTTAGAAGTAATCCAGTCTACTGACTAGTTTTCTTATTTCCTTACAAAGAGAAAAACAGCTTAAATAACAAAAAAAACTAGGATTTCAACCATGAATATTACAAGTACTACGTGAGAATTTGTTTCTCCTCTCTTCTATTTCTACTACTAACCCACTGAAATAATAAACATCTTGACCTAGGAAGCTCCATGTTTTTCAAAACTTGAAATCATTGCTGTCCATATAGATAGCTAAATAAACTTTTCTACCATGACCAAAACAGGAAACTAGATTCTAACCAGAGAGCATATATACATAGTTGTGTAAAACAAACATATATATACACATATATATATACACACAAACATACACACACATATCTAAGGTATATAAACTTTCATTTTTAACTACAAAAATAAATGTTTCACAAAACTCTTGTTCATTTTTGTTTTGCCATATATATAATCTTTCAGTAAATGATATTTGAAGGCAGTGTTTCCTCTTAGGTCAAAAAAGATTTAAGTTCTACTAGCAGCCATAAGTCACTTTTCACTAATAGCCCTTTTTAAAAATTTATTGATTTATTCTTTTTTTTAGTTATAAAGACAGTAGAATCCATTTTGATATATTTATACAAGCATAAAATATTCTCTTTCTATTTAGGACCTCATTCTTTTTAATTTTGTATTTTCTGAATTTTTTTTAGTTGTAGATGGACACAATACTTTCATTTTGTTTATTTCTTTATTTTTTTAAATGTGATGCTAAGGATGAAACCCAGTTCCTGACACATGTGAGGCAAGCGCTCCACTACTGAGCCACAACCCAAGCCCTAGGACCCCATTCTTGTGGATGTACATGATAGTGGGATACACTGTGATGCTTTCATATATGTAAACAGAAAAATTATGTCAAATTCATTCTATAATATAGGATCATTTGATTACTCTTTCAATAAGCCTAATATTTTTAGGATATCTATTTATATTTATATTCCAAAAACTTAATTTCAACAGGAGGAAGCTTTTGAAATAGCTGTCCAAGACTATTCTATCAAATCAACTATAAAGGTAGTAGTGTTCTAAAGAGGCTAAGGACTTATTATGAAATCACTCTAAAACTGATTTGAATTCATTTGACTAAAATCGTCATCATCAGCATTGGCATCATTATCATCATCCAGACATATTTACCCATAGCTGCCTTTTATTTTATCTAAATATTATGGAGTGTACTAAACTATATAATTCTAAAATGTGGCTTAAAAGATATTTGGCATGTGTTTAACCAAAAATTATGAGAGCAACAGATTCTATATAATTAAACAGACTATATTACTATTATCCTCAGAGATATACAAACACAATATTATTTTGTTAAGGGTATTTATCTTTTGAAAACACATGAGTTTAAAAACAGAGGATGGATTTTTAAGGACACTAAATATATTCATTTGAAGAAAGCAAGTCCAGCAATTTAAGTATTGGTAATAAGTGGCAACAACTGTATATATTTCTCAACACAATAAAACTTACATTTATAATTTTAATAATTATTAATAAGCAGGACCAAATTTCAAGGTATTAATGATTCAGAATTAAATATTAGGTTTAGTGTTACTTTTGTCTTTTTTCATTTTAAGTATATTTTAACTGGTAAATAAAAAATATAAAATTTGTATATATTAACAGGATGACATATTTATACATGTATATATTGTATAATGTTTAAATCAGATTAAACATATCTGTCTCCTCATTTATCATTATTTTATGGTGATAGCTTTTAATATACTTTCTTCTACCTTTTAAAAATGTACAGTTCATTACAGTTATTTATATTCATCTTCCTGTACAATAATAGCCCACCAGAACTTCTTGCTCCTGTAACTTAGTTTCCATTGATCACCCTTTTCTCATTCCTCCCTCCCTGCTCCTTGCCCAAGTATCTTTTCATATTTAATGTTTTGTCTTCATATTCTAATTGAAATGTTGTCTTTCAAAGACAGACAACAAAAAACAATAGAGAAAATAAGAGGTTACTTTCTCAGAGACTTAAATATTGATAACTAAAGGTGGAAAGAGTTGTATTTTTCCTATAAGTAGGACTCAAGACTATTTGAGAGAAGTCAGTCAGGAAGTACATATGCCACAGCCAAAGCTATTTGCTCTGGTGGGATTTAGAGTTTGCAATGACTCAAGTATTTGCCTAAGATATTGAGATTCAATGCAGGAATGAGTTTCAGCATCTTTAAATGTCATGCATACACTAGTGTGGATGAAGAAATCCAATAAAAACTTAACACCTGAGGTTTTATTTAGGAAAATGGTTAATCTCATCTCTCCATAGCTGAGGGTATAAATTCAGTGAAGACACAGATGGAATTGGTCCTTCAAAAAAGCACACCTTTCCCTATACACCCCAGTTTCTGTAAAATATCACTTATTTGACTTATGCAACCCAATTTAAGACTAGAAATTTTAAAAGTTTGAGAAGAACCTTAAAACATTTGACAGCATCTCAAACCTGCAGTTTTTGATATCTTCTCCAAAGAATAGTCTTTTCAGGCAACTGACATCTCCTTACTCAAAATACAATTTCCTCTCTTCCCTTTTCAGGTGTCATCTTACCGTGCAGGCCTGTCATTTTTAGACCGGTGGTGAGCTTCATCATGCTCCTTTGACTTTGGGTGTGTTGATTTAGCTGGTTTTGACTATGAACAGAAAAAGAAACAAACAAAATGTACATATACACATACACAAAAAAAGATCAAGCAAAGAAAGAGGTTTAAAAAACATTTAAGTTCTCCTTTAGTAATTTCAGGTTACTTACATTTAGTTAAGCAACACGAACTTATTTTATATACAGTCACTCTGAGGTTTTAAAAAATACATATATATGTATTGTAATACATATATAACATATATACATATATAAAAATACTTATGTATGTATTTATATGTATTATGTCTATGCTCACAGATATATACACACATACATACACAAAGGCAGGTCGAAGATGGTTAATGGAGCTATATGAGTGGGCAATATACAAATAAACAAACAAGGTCACCCACACAGGCATGCTTGGCTATAGATTGTTAATTTAACAGCTGAATAACTATTGATATGAACTAAAGATACCCAGAGTCAACAGAATCTACGTTTGGGCTCTCAAACTTCCTTCTATGTACCTGGCTGATGATTTTCTAGCCAGGCAAGTAAAGCACATGCAAGTTAAATTGCCCAAAAGAAGAACTATTACAGCACCAGATATAAATCTAGAAATCACAGAAGTCATGGTACTTGCTAGACATATGGCCATTACCCTCTGACTTTCCCAGTTTATAATTTATAATACACCTACCCTTTTCTAGTTAACAAAGAATTTGAATAACTGTGGCTTATATTATATAGCAGAAGCATTTGGGTATTCTTGATTAAAAATAAAATGTTAAAAAAATGTTTGAATTACTAAAAGGATAAGGCGGGGAGTTAACTATACATAATTAGTATGGAAATAATCCTTTCATTTGATTTAAGTCTGACTCTTGGATAATCGAGGAAGAGAAAATGATAGAGCAATATTATCAGTCTTGGTTTCTATGACTTCTTCTGCCTCACAATCATTACCAAAAATGTGAGGCGAAACCAGAGCCCAAGAGAGACTCTGTTTGAAAGAGAACAGTGCTAAAGATCAACTGTATCATGAACACACATCCTAAGTTGCATGCTTCCAGGATTGGTGCAAAGTCTCTCCCTAAAATGTCTTTATGATGTGTATTCTTGTACTGCTCCTCTGCTTTTATTCCATCCTACTGGGTCATGTATTTGTTAGCTATCTAATCTTTGTTTTCCTTTTTGCATTACATAAGATCATTCAGGAAAGATCTTCTTTATCCCCATGTGGGTCCAGTGTGGTACTTTGCAAACAGTCACTGATGAGTAAAGTCTGTAAAACTGAACTTGTAACCACCACATACAATAATCAGATTACAGCAGAAAGAACTGCAGTCACTGCTTGTTTTGTCAACTATTTCCAATTAATGAAGGGAAAGAAAACAGTCCAAGCTAGTGCTAAAGAGTTCTTCCACTGTGACATATGCAATAATTTGCTAGTGATAGGTATGTATCTGTCAGTCTTCCATAGAAGTTGTGTCAATGAAAAGAGAAACAAGTACATGGTAGGGATAAAGAATAACACAAGTATAAAAGGAAAGTAGACAGAGCAGATTACCATGAAAATTCTGAAAGCATGTGAAAATGCTCTATTCTCCTATACTGTAAGTATACGCAAACAAAGATCATTCGTAACCAGAATCACATGCATCTTAGGTCTTAAAATGAATAGACTAAGCTTTTTCAATCTTTGCAGTTATCTTTTTACATAATTATTTTCAAGAACTCAATGACCTGTCACAGTGAAACAACTTTTACACATTAGATTCACATATGTACTATCCTAAATATATTTGCAGAGCTTATTCTAAAAGCAGAGTTCCCTTCCCATTTCTTATCTTATTTCTATTAAAAAAATTAAAATACACACACATACACACACACAACCACACCATACCTTCCACTCAGAGTCATGCTTTCTTTTGTCCAAAGATGACTTCTCCCGCTCTTTGGCTTTCTTATAAGCTTTCTTTTCTTCTGCCATTAGAAGTCGAGCAATTTCCTAAACAAGATCCAGTCAATATCATAAACTACAAAGTTGCAGGTAGATTACAGGGATATTTCCAAAAATTATTGTTAAATTCATTAACACAAGCATACCTCATCCTGGGCTACTTGAGCTGCTCGTAGGTCCACCTGGGTAGCCTTTGATGTAAAAGAAACATGAAAAAAAAATTAAGACATTCATGTTGCTCACTTAAAAAATCTTATACAAAATACACTGGTATTTGAAACTAGTTGTGATTAACACCTCTGAAGCTGATCAGCAGTTGATGTGCTTTCACTAGTCAGGCAGCAATTCTTTTGATCAAATCCTCCAGCAGGTTCTTAAGAGAATTGCTAGAAACTTCATAATGCCGAGATAGGGACTTGGAGATCTGTTGTCAGTACTTAGTAAATGAACCTGGATGTAACACCTCCCCCTATCCACTTGGGATATGTTCCAAAACCCTTAGTAGATGCTTGAAACAGCAAATAGCACCAAACCCCATATATAGTTGTTGTTGTTGTTTTTTAATCATACATACCTATGATTAAATTTAATTTAAATTTAGGCACAATAAGAAATTAACAATCATGAGTATAATTATAATAATAATAATAATATGTTATGTATATTAAAATATACCAAAGTTGTGAATTGTTTCTTTCTGAAATTTTCCATTTAACATTTTTGACTACATTTAACTATATGGGTAACTGAAATTACAGAAAGTGAACTGCAGATAAGGGGAGATATTGTACTCCCACTTTTGTTTTCCACATATCAAAAAGATTTAAAAAAACAGATTTCAGTTTCTTAACTGATGGAAGACTATAATGCCCATTATATAATAATAATGTTTATTCAATTCACAAAAAAAACCTACTGATTCACCTGAACTTTTGCCTTAAAATATGCTCACCAAAAGTTCTTCTTCTTGCAGTTTTCTGGCAATTTCAGCATCATACCATTCCTGATCCCTGTGGGTGACTCGTGATGCAGGAGGGCAGACAGCATCTTTCACTACCCGTGGCTTCGTTCCTGGAAAAAACTCACTGCAATAAGGCAACTGTGGTTGTTTCCTGAAAAGTTGTGAAATTTAAGAAAAAGAAGCTTTCTTTTATGTATCTAGCATTGAAAATATTGCCTCCATGCCCAAATTCAGTGTGGAGTGCATTTGAAATATATTTTTCCCTAGGTATGCAAGTACAGTGCTGCTGATCATCCATTTTAATAGTTACCCACCCCTAAACCTGCCAAATAAAAACCCCCTTTCACATGGTCCCATTAACAGCAGGATATTGCATAAGAAATTACAAGTGAGGCCTTCACAAAATAGAAAGTAGAAAAAGAAAAAGTCAAGGAAAATCAAAAGAATTTATTTAAAAAGGAGGTTACAGCATCATTAAAGAGACTAAGCTGACAAGACTAGAGGAGGTGAGAGAGACTCCTAGTTACCTCAGATGGTATATCTTACTGCAAAGGGAACAGAAATCGCATCACCTGCAAATTATGTGAAAATACCTGTTAGCCAATCAATGGCCCTGCCATGGCTTCTGCTCTGATGATAAACAAACCCATTTCTTCAGATCTTTACCACAGCTTTCATCCATCCTTTAATGTCATTATTAAATTTTAGGAAGACATAAGAGAAAGATCACAGAGCAGTGACCTCAGAGTTCTATTCCTCTGGGGAAAAAGCAACATGGGGGACTGGTGAGTTTTTTTTTTTTTTTTTTTAAACTTTAAAATGTTATCTAAGACAAGTTTTGAGAGCTATTTCAAAATTGTGACTATTTCTCTTCATACCCATTTATAACTGCAATCACTCAACAGTGTAAACTGTAGTATATTCAGAAATAATATAAATTTTGAATGCAATGAATAAAATCAGTCACTTGGAACATCAACTTTTAGTAACTGAGGCACAGAAGGGGAAAGAAAGTTTACTCCTAATTGCCTCTCTTATACCAGCATTTGGCAACTATGGCTACATATTATAATTGCTTGGGTAGGGGTGATTTAAAGAAATTTTTAAGGAATATTTGCCCCACTTTACTGTAGTGTGGACTTGGATAGGTTTAAGTCTTTCCAAATAATTCATATTTACAACTAACATTGCAACCGCTAGTTTAATATATTATCAAAATGCCTTATCACACTAGATTTACTTGCTGAAAATATGGAAAGAAAGAATTCAGTGAAGAGAATTTAGGTTATATTGTGAAGCCCATCTATGTAGAGTTTTCAGCCTAGTCTTGTGATAAACTGAAAAGCTACAGACCCATATGCTTCTATCTTTACCACAGAGAAAGCAGAGTAAACCTAGTATTTTAGCTCCAGACTTACATAGACTATTTCAAATTATCCCTAGAGCTACTAAATCTTACAGGGGGCTGGAGTAGAGAGGGCTGTTCTGAACCTAAATTTCTCATTGGTTTAGGACAGCAAGAAAACAGTGGCATGCTCCCAAGAAGATAAGTAGAATGTAAACCTCCCTAAATTTAACCCTCCCTGAATTATGGTTAGTTTAGTCATATCTAGAAAAGGAAATTTCAAGTGAAATAAATTAGACAGGGAACTTCGTATTGGGTGAGGTCAGCAGAAAAGATAGGCTGCTATACCATACTCCAGTCTCTAGAAAAATGATAGTTTAATAAGCAGTCCAAAGCCTTATTGAAGGTGATACAATACACATAGTTTCTCCAGTTTTGCTATATAGTAAAGTGATAAGTGGGACATACTGAGATTTCAAGACAGCAAACTTTCTCCACTATTATGCCTTCTACTCTACCCAACAGAATTAGCTGAGAAAATGGAGCCAAATGAAAAGTCTTAATTGGTCTGACAAAATGATAATATTACTACTTACAGTTAAAAAGAGAATGATAACTTTAATTATTCATAAGAGTTAGAATTTGAGGTAATAACTCTCAGTCTCAAATTAAAGTTAGAGGGGAAACAGTTCATTTAAACTTTTGCCGTACCACTCGTATTTACAAGTCTCATTGGATAGAAAATCCCACAGTCTAGTATACTAGATTTCTAGACTGCCAGGACTGCCTAGTCATTATAAGATTTTCTGTTCCTGATGCAATGTGAGTTTTTCTAAATACAAGAAGAAACACCGGATACTTCAGTAGAAGGCTGTCATTACAGAAAACAGTAATGCTTTAAAAATTTTTTTAAATGTAGTTAATTAAAGGAGATTAAAGGAAGAGTTGCCTTTATTTTAACAGCTTAAATAGAATCAGAAAAACTATTTTCAACTAGGTGAGCCAGATTTCCAACAGTTCCACATATTAATCTAATTGTTCCTTGTATTTCTGTTTATCATTTCTCTAGTTTGAGAACACAAGAACTTCCCAAAATGAAATAAATGAAGCATCCTCTTAAATAAATTCTGATAAAATAACATTGCTTAAATTAGTACTGCTATCCAAAATACATTTATTTCAAGCTTTAGATAAAATTAAATGATCACTGGAAGAGTCTGTGATATCATGCAAGAATATTTTATAAATAAGCCATATGACACCTGGGAAATGCCATAGTATATTTAATTAATAATTTGTAAAAGAAAGTGCAAAATATTCCATGGCTCAGAGTAGTTAAAAACTAACTTCAAGGGGAAAACAAATCAAAGCAATGATAAGCTGAAACAAATACACAGTGCAATAGAGAAGCTACTCTGAAAGGTTAGGTATGGTCATTGTCCTACAAAAAGTAAACTAGTCATATATTTAATTTAGCAATTTTATTTTGCATTCCTTTTTCAACCAAATCTATAAGTGTTGTTTTGAAAATGCTCTTACAACTAGCTTTGTCATCTTGCTAGTTTCTTCATTATTAAATTAAATAAAACTTTTGCTTATAGTAACAACTTTAAAAATTGAGTTTTCCTCAACAGTCAGTGTAGCCAACAGTACTTAGATATTACATTTTAAAGAAATCCTCTGGCCTACTCCAGGAAGGTTGTAAAAGCAAATGCTGACAGGGTCTGGGAAGGTAAAATGTATAAGGCAAAGTAAATATCCAAGGATATACAGTAAGCAGTTTGCATTGTAATCATAACACATACCTCAACACATCATTTTTTTTTAAATCCTACACTAGCAATATAAAACCAAACCTTTGCCTCCACAACTGCAATACTGGAGATTGTAATTCAGTGTTTAGTTTCATGCTTTTTAAACCTATTTACAACACCCTAGAACAAAACTTAAAGCCACAAAGGCTAACCATCCCTCAGAGCACATTTATAAGGTCAGATTCATAGAATCAGAAATGAAGAAGGTAATAACCATTCATCCCCCTCACGCACCCACCTTTAGAACTCTTTCTAAATTTCGAGAAATATAACTTCTTTTTAAACCTACTCCAAATAGATCCTACTCTCTTCTCTATGCCCCCATAGCTCTTTGTTCATGTTTCCCTTTTATATAATTTGGGAGTGTGTGTTTATATATCCATATTTTTGGCTTGACTAATAACCTTCCAAGGCTCAAATCTAAGCACAAAGGCCAAGGCAAGAATATTTTTGGTAGATTTTTCAGTATGGCTTGCTAAAGTAAATTTTAATTTTTCTTATAACCAAGTCCTTTAATTAGAGATAATATAATAGGAAAAATCAACTGAATCACCCTGAATCTGTAACCTAGAAACCAGTTCCCCAACCAAGAAGAGTGTGACTGGACAATAGGCTCCTTCTTGGTACCTCTTGCCCAGCAATCCTTCTGTCTCTGTAAAATTTCAGTATGAGCTAAAAGAAACAATGATGATGAATATGATCAATTAAAATACAAGAGTGTAGAGTGCTATAATAGTGCTATAGGCACATGGAAAACATCAGAGAGTCATTACTATGTCAATAATGGACTGCAGAGTTAAGCCTGAGGTGTTCTAAAACATTGACACTTACCTCTAACATTCACCTAATTTCTATTCAGGCACCAAGAACTTGTGATGGCACTTTAGAACACCAAGTGAAGAGTTAGAATTGGAGAAAGAGCACAAAATGTAACTCAACACAATAATTTTTAAACTCTAAATTCATAATTACCTTCAGGTATAAAACATGCCCAAACTGACTCAGAAATTTGCATTTTTAGGAAACAGTCCAGCTGAATCTGACAATTTGAAAACCCTATATTAAAAGACTGCCTATACAACTCTTCATTTTACAGATGAGAAAGATGAGGTCTAGAAAATAAAGTATTTACAGTCCTATTGGCGGGTAATACTATTAAGGAAATATCACCAGATCTTCTGGGTTCACTAAAGTAAACAAGAAGTTCAGGAGTTTTCACTGAGTATTGAAATTTCTGTTGTTTATGGTCTTGGTAAATGAAGAAGTACATTTGGGATGGGTACCTCCAATTGTAACCTAGATCTGGAAAAATCTTCCAAGGAATCAGTGTATTATAGAAGAGGAAAAGTAATAGATATTTTCCTTCTTCCTACAGACCTCAGATTGAGTAAATACCTTTATGGACATTTGGATCCAGGATTTTTTTTAAGGACATGAGTACAAAGCAGAAAGGAATGAGGTTTGCTTAACATGCTTACTAAAGCATTGGTTTGTATGTATATACATGATACCAGGACTTCCAATGGGGTGGTCCTTTATTACCTGTGTCATGGTGATGGTGCTGCTCCTCACTCTCTGAGAAGGGAGGAGTCCTGTGCCTGTGTCTCCTTTCTCTGTGCTCACCTTGCCCATGGTCCCTCCCATATACAGCTTCCTTGCAGTGAAGCCCTGCTTTCTGTGAGGACTTTGGTGAAAGTCGATCTTGGTGTTGGGACTGTTTTCCCCAATTACGAGTTCCATGGCTACCATTAGGCTTCCAGTCATCACACTGAGTGCTCAGAAACACATCACCATTGATCTTAGGAAGCGGAGGTCTTCGGAGCTTCTCCTGACTAGGCTTTTTTCTTTCATGCTGCTCGCTGGTAATTTGGGCATCATCTCTCACTTTGCCCCAGCTGGAGGAAGACAGGGATCTCTCTGGTGAACAATGTTTTTCCAACTCTTCTAAGTTCTCTAGTGGATGTCTTGGTTTCTCTTTCTTCTGCTTCACAGTCTTTCCATCATTCTGTAGTCTACAAGACCTGGAGTATCCAGAACCCAATTCCCTGGCCCTCCTTGACCTTGGCTGGTCTGAGTGGAGGTATAGGGATATGAAAAATAAAAATGCAAATTAACTTAATGAGAGTATGAACTAACTACATAAAGGAAGTCAGGGCCCAAGTTTAATATTTTCAAAATGGAGAAAACTGCTTAAAAAACTGAGCAGAGAGAATGAGTATTTACTAAAATGTTCCATGTATACAAAAAGGATTCTGGGTATATAGTCAGAAAGGTGAAAAACTAAAATTAAGTGAAATCTAAAAGAAGAATTTGATCTTGATTAGGCAGAATTTATGGAGTACTTTCATATTTGCCAATAACAAAAAATATAGCTGTTGAACATTAAAGCCTCCTGTATAAAACTGTTTTGGTACTAGTATTGGGGGGAAAAGTAGGGACTCAAAAGTCTTATAAAACAGAAAAAAAAATTAAGATTTGTGATTTCAGTCATAGGCTTTCAACTATTCTTAGGAGAAATAGAAATAGAATTATATCAGAATGTGCTAGTTTCTGCTTAGTTTTGAGAAAGATCTTGGTATTCCTATACCCACTTCCCTTTTGTGGCCAAAGCAAACATTCCCAGATACTTCAAAAAACAGCCCTTTATCACAGTTCAGTGTGGAAAGGTTAAGAGGAGAATTTCAGGTGAATAAATAACCATGTTTTATCTTTTAATAATTCTGTTCTCAATTTTAGTGAATCTTGGCAGAGAAAAAAATCTTAAAAGGGGATGCCAAAATGGAATACATAAAAATGGGTCACTTCCTAAATATATTTCCAAAAATTTTTGATACAATTTATAAATAAATATATAAATCTCAAAATTTAATACAAACTTCAAAAGAGTACATGCATGGGTGCTTTTGTCTTATTCAAGCACACTGAAAAAAAAAGAAGCAAATTAATATGCACTTTGCAGGAATGTACTGATTTTAATGTTTTTAAAATTTTAAATACATTTGGGGAATAAAATAAAGAAATCCTAATTCCAAAGAAAACTGCTAATTGAGCTAAGATACATTCCCTTTTGGAATTAATCATTTGCTGAACTGCATATAACAAAGCTATCACCATTTGATGGGATGTAGAGAAAATAAAGAACTGTGTTTTCTTAGTTTTTAGTGTGTTTTTACTGTTTGGTTGCTTAGATACTGTTAATCTGATAAAGGAAGAGTGTAAAGGGGTGTCACAGCTTCCATCCAAAAATCTCAGTCTCATCTTACATTTTCCAGAAGAAAAGGAAATCTTAAAGATAAATCTGTATTAAAACCTATAATCAAAACAACCTGTACAAGTATTTAACTCTACAATTTACGGTTAAATTTATATTTGACATAAAAATAAAAAGTGAAATGAAATAACTACTCTATGATAAATAAAAAAATGTACTCCTTTAATCAAAATATTATTGTAAGTCTATTTTATAACTGAGCAAGAATCTTTTGGCTTGTGCAATAATGTGATATGACCAGCTATTAAATGACATCCACATTCAAGGAACAATGGTTTATAGTGTTGATACCAATATGCCCACAGGTAACATGAATGAATCTACTTTTAAGATCAAAGGAAACAGAAAAGGTTTCGTTTTGATATGAATTTGTGAGGCTGTGTTTTTTTAAAATTCCTGTTGAACAGTAAAACAATAGTAGATTTATTCTAAGAACATGTGTTGAAATAATTATTACAGAGTCGTCACTATATTTTCAGAAATGACTGGAAAAAAATTTCTCTAGTTTACCTATTAATTATGACATCTATAAATTTGACGGGAAAAGAGACAGAGGTAGAATATCTGTTTCAGTCCTTCAAAACTCCTTCCAGCTGAGGACTGAGAATTAGACACTTTTTGAGACTAAGTTATTTGGCAAATATAAATAACCTCCTTATTGCATACACACCCACACCCACACTTCCATGTTTATCATTCAAAATAAAATATTTTAGGTAAATGCTATATTATATACACATAACAATATTCATGAATATATAGAAATAGTACTTTAGAGTTCACAAGTTCTTCACCAAAATTACATTACTTGATTTTTTTCAACATGCATGTGAAGGACATGTTTTTAAAATCCTATTTTACAGATCAGAAAACAAGGCTTAAAGATATTGCAGTAGAGATCTTTTTTAAAATTACAGTAGCTCTAAAGAAGGGACAAGACTTGAATCATAGTCTTATGACTTTAAAAATAATCACACATATGAGTGTAATACAGGGTATGTGGCTTTGAAAGAAAAACATGGACTACAAGTGAATAAAATAAACCATTTCACAAGTGACATAATTTGAAAACATTCTGGATAATTTCAAATTTTTAGAAAATCTATATATAATCATTTTTAAAGATTAAATTGTTAAATTTTATGTAAAACAAAAGCTGAAAGGACAACCATTTCTGTAATGTTATACTGTGATTATGCAAGTAAGGCAAAACTCAAACTAAAATCAAAAGAAGTACAATTAAGGATTATCCCAGATGTGTTGGGAAAGGATCACTGCAAACAACAAAAAACTGCTTTGTAAATATAAGCCAAATTATAATATGGTCTCTGTGGAATTCAACTTGGCCTAACTAAAGGCATATAAATGAGGATCACATGTTTACCAACATGTAATCTCTCAACACCACCACAGCTGAGGCAAGAGAAATTCTAGTATCTACACATACTTGCTCAGGTCACCACTTCCTATTCTTCAATACACACTCAACTCCCTCAAAACAAGCATATATTATGCTCCATATGTATACGATGAGTCAAAATATATTCTGCTATCATGTATAACTAATTAGAACAAATTTTTAAAAAAACAAGCATATATGCCAATCTCTACAAATTTACAAAAATAATTAAAATATAGATTGTTTTTATAAGGTGTATTTTACGTGTCTGAGAAACCATTCAATTCTTAACACAGTCTCCTACCTAGAGATGAATCAGAATGAGAGTAGTCTAGTCAAAACAAATAGGTCTGAGTTTCAACTCAAGTTAGCATAGATGTTAAAATTACTACTTTAGATCAGCCGGGCATATTGGCACATGCCTGTAATTCCAGCTACCTGGGAAGTGGATCCTGAGTTCCAAGCCATCCTGGGCAACATAAGAACCCTTCTCAAAAACGAAACAAACAAAAATATTTTAGTATTCTTAATTATTTGCCATCCTTATGTGTTTGGATTTAAATTTTAAAATAGTTTTATTTATAGTGAGCATGCCTCCAGAGCAGAATTAAAAATTAAAAACAAAAAAAAATACAAGATAATATTTCTGAGATTTGAATTACAGCTGAAGAATAACTTTACCTTCTGGTCTCCAGTATAGCAAATGTAGTAATAACTTTTCTTTCTTTTTAAATGATGTAATATATCATTTCATCAGAAAAAAAAAAACTAGCATAAAAAAGATGGTTATCAAAAAAAGATCTGAGCATTTCACTTATGAAAAAACAATCAAGCAACAAACAGAATCAACCTGCTTATAAAAATAGGCCACAGAGCTGATCCTACTGATCATGGTAAACTGAGTACAAAACATGTGACTGCTTACCCAGTGTGCAAACTTGTAATGCCAGCGGCCCAGGAGGCTGAGACAGGAGGATCAAGAGTTCAAAACTAGCCTCAGCAATGGCAAGACACTAAACAACTCAATACATCCTGTTTCTAAATAAAATACAAAATAGGGCTGGAGATATGGCCCAGTGGTTAAGTGCCCCTGAGTTTAATCCTTGTTATCTGCACCACCGCCCCCCCCTAAAATGACTGCTCAAGATTATACTCAAACTATAATAATCATATCATCTACATATGTGTTGCTTCCATTCTACTCATCAAAGACAAACACATCAAAGTTGATAACTGGTTTTGCAAGGTCCTTTTGGATCACTGACCTTAAAATTTTTACTATCTAGAAGTTGTCTTTAGGTTTTATTTTACTCATGACCCAAGGTATGGTCTTCCAGCTTATGTTCAATAGTGACTCTTGAAACCACGTGAGATGTCATTCCTTAGACAAATCTTTGAAAAGGGCTGAACTTACTTGCAAATACTCATTTCCCAACACATATTTAAGATAAAGAGTCACCACAACCACAGCTACCACCACCACACCATCACCACCACCACACTGCAAAGCAAACACCAGAGAAACAAGACTGTAGTAGAACTCTATTCCCTTATACATATATGGTAATCAAAGAGCAAAGAAAGCAAAATATATATATATATATAAATAAAAATAAACAATGCATCTCAAAATTTAGTATTGTCTGTCATCAGCAGGATAAATCACTGGCCTAGGTTTAAAAGGTGAGAAAGCATGGAGAAAAAAAAGTTTTGTTACCCAGAAACTGATGCATGGTGTGCCTTCTTTATTCACACCATTTTGCAAATTAAAACAGCAATGTCCAGACTTCTTTGAGAAAATTTAAATGCAAAGACTCATCCATCATTTTCTGCACTCTATTTTATGTACTTAGAAGATAATACATCACTCCAAGAGACTGCAGTACGGGAGAATACATGCCAAATCTTACAAAGCCATATCCAAGTTTTAAAAGTCATAAAAATGGCTCTTATTATCCAACTATGGAACAGATGAATTCATTACCTTATAAATAGAATCCCACCACAAATCTAAATGTATTCAATATTTGGGATAAGAGAAATATCCCCAGGTCCCTAAGGTCACTTTATGGATAGAATCCAAAGAGTGTCTTGCAGTTATGTCTAAGAATAGAGTAGGTCATAATACAGGGATGGTTACCTCCATCTTCATAAAAGTAACTATCTCCATAAGCACTGGCTCCAGAAAACTCTGGAATGTGTTTCTTTCGCTTTTTCTCTTCTTGCAACTCCTTTTCTTGCAAAAGGCGAGCTATATCCTGCAAAGACAAGAGGGAATGAAAATAAACACTACCAGGGAATGAACTATCTCTATATAATGAAGTTCAATATCCTACTACCAAGCTTTTATGGTCTTTGTCCATGGCTCCCACACTTCCTGGCATTAGACTCATGCTATCCAAATACCATAGACGATTGCTCAATGGCAGTGGCATATAATATAGATGAGTAAAACAGGATTTTATTTTCTAATTGAAAGTTAGTCTAACCTAATTTCAAGATATTCAAACAGTACTGCCTAAAGCTGGTTGTACAACAGAATTTTTAAAATACACATTTGTGGGCCTTTCATCTAAGCTGACAATTCATTAAGTCTGTGGGGAAGGTCAAAGTAATCTATAAAACTTTATAAATTATAAAGGCACTGTGAGAAAGAGAGTGATGAGTATCATTCCAACCCTGCTTCTCAAAACATTACCACCCCTACATGAAAACAAAAGAACACGCAAATAACTTTAGTAAAATTATAAACTATAAATGCCTCAAAAAAAGTTAAATATCTATGGGAATACAAAAGATGGAATATTATTTAGAAATTAGTAGAAAACTCTGCATTGTGTTAGGCTTTGAATGAAGATCTGAATTTCAACATAGAAAGGAGAGAAGAGCGAGAACATCAGCAAAGTTGTGAATGTTAAAATGGACATCAATCTAGAAGATGATCAGCAGGCTAATCAGAACACAGGCCATGAGATATTGAAGAAAAAGGTGAGAAAGACAGTCAAAGGCTGAATCACAAGCACTCCTCACAGAGAATTATAGGAAGTCTGAAGCCCAAAATATAGGAGATAAAGGGTCACTAAAGGTTGTGGGGTGGAGAATGACAATGTTCTAAATCTGATGGCTATTTCTATGAAAGTCCTATAAAATAGCATATAAATTTTTATGCTCACATACACTTTCCTCATTAGACACATAAAGGTTCACAACAAATATGGCAGCAATATTCAAGCATGCAAATGGTAATAACCATCAGAGATAATTCTCTATATTTATAATAAATAAGGAATACAAGTACTGCTTAGATGTCAGTGATGAAAATTTGAAGCAAAAATTACTATTCTTTTGAAATCTTCTGAATCTATCCAGATGAATACACTAAGACTATAAAGCGATTAAAAAAAAATTCATATGAGTGAACTAGACTTTTTTTACATCTCTGCTAAAATGCTGGATGCTAAAGCTAGGTAAAATAAAACTGATTTGGGGCTGGGGTGGTGGCTCAGTAGTAAAGTACTCCTAGCACATGCAAGGCCCTTGATTTGATCCTCAGCACCACATAAACCTAAATAAAGATATTGGGAACATCTATAACTAACAGAATTTTTTTTTAAAAAGGGGGGTGTATGTGAAGGACCCATTTATTTTTATAAATAAATAAATAAATAAAGATGTTCACTATACCTTCAGCTTTTTTTCTTTACTATTTATCAAACTAGCCTTACAAATTGACTTTATGTTAAGTAAATGACTAAATGCAAACTTAAAATATATTAACACATTGCTCTTAAGTGAAAAAATATATATGTATGTATATGTATATATGTGTATATGTATTTTTGGGGGTTAAATAATCTATTTTTAAAAGTCTATACTACACAGTGTCAGACATTTGAGTGGGCATTCATAAAATATTCCAACTCAGAATGAGAGATAAAGGACACAATCCTACTTAACACAAGTATACTTCTCATGCCTAAAACTCGAATTTCTAACACTTTAACAGAAAAAGTATGCCGTAAGTCTGAAAATTAAGATGGTTTTCTTTCCCTTCTAATTCAAGCAGAGATGCTTTAACAAGATATTAGGTGAGAAACAATAACTACTAATATAAATTTCTTTGAAACTTCTACTATTTATGTGTGTAATGAAGACTTTGAATTATTCAATTCACATGCATTTGACTACTTAATGCATCATTTTAACACATCTGTGCATGTTTACCAGGCACCAATGCCTAAGTCAGTTTCGTTACTTTGATGTCTAAGAAAGTAATATATCAATCAGTTAGGAAGGGAAAGAGGGGTGGGAGAAACAGTTTGTTTCTCCAAACTATAATCTGTTAAATTAGATGTTCTCACATTCTTACACAGTTGACCAAGGGAAAAAAAATGCAAACACCTCCCTGAGTTGTCATTTTTACTAAGCATCCAACAATTTTCTCTAAGTGATGTGTTTTATACAAAACCAAAATTTCCTGTTATAACTGAGGAAAAAAAATACAAAGAAAAATTATCAGGCCTAACTGCCAGCAGAAATTAATAAACTACACTTCAGGGACCTTATAATTGCTTTCCTGCTATTGAATTTAGTACTAATGAATATACAATAATGAACACTCTCCCAGTGTGAGGAACTAGGACAAGAATCATGTCCCTTCTTTACAATGTATTATTAGCTAGTTAAGGGCATGGTTTTGATCAAGTAGAAAAACAATTATAATATGCACTTATTACCTAAGCTTTTTTTGTCTATAGCTTTTTTGAGTAAGTTTCTCCTGGGTGTGAAGAAATGGTTTGCTAGGCTTGAAGAAGGGAAAAGATTCAATGGAAAACTGCCACTACATTATACGTGAGGCTTAGCATAAGTACCCCACTTCCCTGCTTTCCAACATTACTGTGCAATGAATTCTGCTGGGAGATTTCATAATGAAGTAATTTCCTTTGAAACAAGCTAAAGATGACAATTATTAGTCACCATGCATCAATGTAGCTAACCAGCTTAGTCACCTTTGATACAATCTCCGTAATCCTTAGCTTCCTTCTTGTTAAAGGATAGTGTAGTCTAGAATATCATTCCCTAAACTATTCTGAAGAACACAGAATTCAAAAGTCTAATAAAAAAAGCATTCAAATGAGAGCATATACCACATCTCTTCAAAATGCCTATTAATATGCTTCAATCTTTGATTAAAGAAACTATTATATTTGTTTAACCTAGAATTTTCCAAACTCATTTTATGAGACAGCCCCTTATTATATATTAAATGATATATATTTATTAATATGAACCTTGTGGAATTTCTGTTCTACACAACATAACTTGGGGAAACACATCTACAGAAATGTTTAAACCCTTTCAAAGTCATTTTTAATTTTTTTTAACTTATTAGGTAAACTTATTTGGGGCCAATATGTGGAAATATCCCTGTTCTACAGAAAACTCTCCAAAACTGGAATGGGAACTTCATCTCACTTCTCCCTTTTCTGTTACCTAAGCATCATAAGAAAGGGCACAATTAAGAATCTCTAGAATGATACTAGAGAGTCATTTTAATGAAAACATAGATTTACTGATATTCTTCAAGGAAACAAACATGATGCTGTGGACCAGTAGGGAATCAGAATATAGAGTTAATATTTAATAGTTTTCATGTATTTATGAAGGGTCAAAAGCAAATCTATTAGTATAAAATAAGACATGCAAGGTAAAGCCCAGGGGAGCTGGGTACATCTTTCCCAAGTAGATAACAGATTATCAAATCATGGTGTTGAGTTTCTTAGAGTATTATCATGGTTTATATGATTTATATCAGGGTTATTTCTACCTTAAAGTTTTCTTCTCTATCCACAATTGTAGTGAGTTTCAAAAAGAGGAGATGTATTTTAAAACAATCAAAAGGAGATCCAAAAATGTGATTATCAATTGACTGAAAGGAAAAAAACCTATTAGCTGGCAATTAACATATTATCATCCAACTCAGTATAAATCTCAAAGCAGATATAATAATATATAATAAAGCAGATAACTCAAGGAGTTATCTAGGAAAACAGAATAATATCAATTCTATGGGTGTAAAAACATCAACATAACTAGGATAAGAAGAAAAAATGAACTTTCTCAACTAGAAGCTACCCTCTCATCTTCCTTTCTGTTCATGTAAATATAAATTCATCTTTATGGTTTCAAAATACAGAACTTTTTTTAATAACTAAAATATGCTGCTATTTCAGCTTGTTTCTAAATATTACTAACTTATATAAATATTCTTTTAGATTCTTTTGAAATTTCTAGTCACTTAAGAGTGGTTTGAATAAGTACCAGGACTACCACTAGATTCATTTTTTATATATATACATTGGTTACTAAGTTTATCCCTGAATAGTTCACATTATAAATGGTTTCAAACTCTTGAACCAGTGCCACAATGTTTCATGACATGTTTGGCCATGCTAATGTTTACTTAAGCCAAAAATAAAAAAAAAAAAACTTTTCCTAAAATAGTTGCTTATTCAGATATATTTGGAGTGAAGTCCAAATCTCACACACATATAAGAGCTTTATTTAAGAATAGCTAAGTCAAATCAACCAAAAATGCATTCCTTGGCTTTACTAAAAACTGGCAAATGCTTATGGTGTGACTGAAGAGAGATCTCAGTGGCAGTAATCTATTTTATTAATCACAAACTCATAGTAGTGCACACCCAAAGGCTGCAAGTCCCTTCAACAGGGCACCTAAAGAGAAATTTAACTACCATATTTAAGGCATAACATAAAAAAGATTTAAAAAAAAGAAAGAAGAAAGAAAGAGAGAAAGACAGAGAGGGGAAAAAAGGAAAGGAAAGTGTTCATAAAGTAAAAAGACAGAAAAAAAAAAAGTCCCAACTTTTCTACATCTGTCTCCTTGAATGGAAATGCTACTTTCTTTAAATCTGTGTTGAGTTAATGCAATTAAATTATATCATAACAAAGTTGGAAATGCTAATTTACCCACACAAAGCCATAAAACTCCATTATATCTCATGATCAATGCTGTTCAGAAATAAATCTCTGCCCTATATAGACAGGGGCTTGGGTTTTTACATCTATTTATTTTGGAGAGTTATAAACTAGCTAAGAGAATTAACCTCAAAAATCTCTAATAGATTTAGGCGAAAATCCAAAGAGGAATTTTCCATAGCCCTACTGCTGATTAAGTTATTAATTAAACAGACTCTTCCAGGAAGCAATATATATATAATATTTAGGACTGCTCATAAGTAGCAGGCAATACTTTCCCAAAAACTGGCCAGAAGAATTAGCACTACTGTTAATTTCCTCTGCCTTTGAGGCATCCTATTTCCAATGGACTAAAATAAACACCACTATTATATATCCTTCAATGACAAACTTCATTAATGTACATTTTGATCATTTAATATTGATAATGTAGTAGTCAACTAAGACAAAAGGACATTCTGACAGTAGCCATCTTCTAAAGCATGAGGTGAAAGGTCAAAAAGTGAATGCAGTTTCTTAGGGACTAATCTCTTCTAGCTACTAAATCTCCACAACTGCATTCCTCATTTAACTTTTCCATTCTACTGGGGAAGGGGGAACATTTCAGTAGGTCAAACTAGTGATGGAAGGAAAGCTAGTGGGAGGTCTACAAAGGCAAGTAAATGCTTGAAGACCCCATAAACCACACCATTTTGGGACACACTAAAACCTGTTTAATTTTCCTCCAATTTTGCACATATATCTCTGTATGAGAAATCCAGATAGTCATAAGGAGCAGAATTATGAAGAATTACCTCACAGGAAAGCAAAGAGGAAAGAACAATTATTAACTTCATATGTACCAGAGGCATGATATACATAATCTCACTGAAACCTCATAATAGCCCTTTAAGATGCAACTAAAAAGTCTTACTCATTTTAGAACCTGAGGTTCTCCACAGTTAAGTTACATGCTGAAAGTCACCCAGCTAAAGTTAAGAATTAAAATTCACATCCAAGTCAGCCTAATTCCAAAGTCCATAGACTTTCTGTTGTAACACAGTAAACCCAAGTCAGAAGGAATCAGTCAGGAAATCTTAATCATAGAAACAGTTCTCTGGCATCTTATCATAACCTGGGATTAGAAACTTCTTTAAGACTTAATTTCTTAATCTGAAAAATAGAGTAAAATCACTACATTTGCTTATTTTACATAAGATTTCATGAGACCACTTAATTTGCTTACTATTTAAATTCTACATGCCTAAAATAAACTGTTTTAGTTTCTCTTTTTGTCTTGTTTTTCTCTGAAAGGAAAGGGAAAAACTCACAGACACCAGTAGCATTTATTAGAAGTCAATTAGTTCCTCTGTTATTTTTTAAATAGAAGCTTTACTGTCTACAAAATATAATCACTCCTTTTACTCCCCAGTTTCATTCTCAAAGCAGTTTTTACTATACAGAAGAACACATCCTGTAGTAAAAAAGAGCCTCCTGTGTTGATAACAAGGACCCAAAATAAGCTCTCTTACTTTAGTTTTTATTATCACATAATCATGGTTTGTTTCTAAACAACTAAATATATTCAAACCAAGTGTCTCATAGTAATCTGATCTTGAATAAGAGGGGGTAGAGGAACAAGAGTGGCTCAGTGAAAATAGCAGTATATATAGGCTAGTTTACTGAAGACCATGATCATATTTATTTAATAGGGTAAAATGTGCCAGTTTGCCCATAGTCCCAGGTTATGTTATTTATTAATAGCACCCCCTAAACCCTCAAAGTTATTTCTGGCTACATAACAAATCATACCTTCTATTAAAAATGATAAATCAAGACAGTAGCCAAGAACAGCATAATAGATGTAAAAAAAGGGAGACACAAAATTGATTTAATTGAAGTGCATTGTTTGTATGTAGTGGTTCAAGTATATAACACCAGAGCAAGTAAGAGTTAACTAAAAATTCAAGTCTTTTCACAAACCAAACACTATTGCTCATTTCAGTCATTTGAAGATTTTTTTTAAAAATGCAACTAAAAACACATATAGAATCAAACAGATTAGTTATTTAAGTCAACAAATCAAAGGAAAGTAAAAATATCAAGAAAAGAAAAAGAGTGAAAATAATTGATAGTTCCTGGCCTCTCACAAAAACTAATAATCCCTGACTCTATTTCAGGCTCCAAAATCTGCTTTTTCTAAATCTGCATGAATAACCCAGGCAGAGAAACCTTTAGTGAGCTGAATAGTATTCCCAATACTTTCTCTCTACCCAGAACTTCCGAATGCAGCCATAATTAGAAACAAGGTGTTTGTGGACATAAATTAGTTAAGCTGAGGTTATACTAGGTTGGTCTTCAATTCAATGATTAGTATCCTCATAAGAAGAGAAGACAAGCTGGGTGCAGTGGCACATACCTGTAATCCCAGAAGCTTGGAAGGCTGAGACAAGAGGATCACAAGTTCAAAGGCAACCTTAGCAACAGCGAGGTTGCAAGCAACTCAGTGAGACCCTGTCTCTAAATGAAATACAAAATAGGGAATGTAGCTCAGTGGTCAAGTGCCCCTGAGTTCAATCACTGGTACCAAAAATAAAAGAGAAAGAGAAGGCAGCATGCCACATGATAATGAAGGCAGAGGCTGATGAAATGATGCAGCTAAAGCCAAAAACAGGAGTCAACAGGAGCTGGGAAGAGACAAGGAATGATCCCTTCTCAAAAGGAAACATAACCCTGCCAACATCTTGATTTTAGATTTCTAACGGAACTATGAAGAAATAAATTTCTGTTGTGTTAAGCCATTAACGTTGTGGTACTTTGTTTCAGTACTTCCAGGATATTAATTTACATCTTATGACAAATTATCCATTAACATGTCTAAAAACTATATAAAATAAATAAATAAAAAAGGTTAGAGCATAGCTGTTCAGTAGTAGGGCACCCTTGGATTCAATCCCCAGTATTAAAAATAAGAATATAAAAATATTTGCTCCTGATCTGAGCACTCCTTCCTGCATGGGATGGAAGAGTATTAACAAAGTTATACCTCATCCTTCTTCTCCTGAATGCGCCGTCTCTCTGCCTCAATAGCCAGCTTCTCCTGAATTTCCTGAGCAATTTCACAGTCTTGTTGTTCACTAAAAAAAAGGTGAAATAATATTAATACAAAAAATAAGGACTACATTTTCCTACAAAATAAAAACATAATTTATTGAATACTATGAGCCACTTCATATTTTTATCTCATTTAATCCTCATGATAATGACACAAAGAGGTTGACACTGTCACATTTTAAAGATGAAAAGACTGAGGTCCAAAGAAATAACATCATTTCCTTAAGAACACACAAAAAAGTGTGTGGCACATAGGGAATCTGATCCACAGACCCAACAATGGAAAGCTCCATGCTTCTTCTACACCACCATACTACATATCCTACGGGGGCCACTCTACAGGAAGATAGGCTTTTTTTCCTCAAGATTCTGCAAATGTTATATAGACTAGGACAATAGTATCTACAAATAATCAAACACAGATGTACAGAAAAAGTCTGACAGCAAGCTCACTAAAATGTCAATTATACTGTGGTTATAGAAAGTTGATGGTATGGCTTTGAAATAATGTTTTTTAACTATTTAATTATCTGGATTTTTTTTCGCCAGTTTCAATAGCAAAGACTAAAAAAATTATGCTTACAAAAAAAAAAAAAGAAAGAAAAGAAAAAAATTTAGTGTATATACCTCAGCAAGGTCAACCAACTGGCCCAATGTCTTAATAGCTTAAGTGTCAGAGTTCACCATGATCCACATGTTCCTAGTCAAATGTTCCAATAACAAAAAAAGTTATCAAAAAAGCTATTGGAAAGTCACCACAGGACTTGTAATCTAACAGTAGAAGGAATCAGAGGGGCAGGAGCGGTTTTCTCTGCCACCCAAGTTGCTGCACAGACAGTCCTGACCATTTTTTCCCACTCCCCAAATCCTCACAGATCTTTGTAGCGCTTTTGGAGCTGAGCCTGGGCTTTCAGATCTTCCTCTTGGAGCTGTTTAGCAATCTGGAGATCATGCTGGACCAAACGGTTCCGCTGAATGTTCGATGCCAAATGATGCTCAACTTGAGACAGAACAATTGGAGAAAGAAATTATAATGCTTTCACTTGTTAGCAATAAATATTCTACTAAATTTAAAAAGAGCTTTATCATTAGAAATAGCTTCACATCTACTAATTCCTTTTGTTCTCAATAACATTGTGCAATATGCAGCAGAGAAATTGTTATTCCCAGCTTTTCCCTGAATGAAAAGAAGATCAAAAAGACTTAACTTCCCTTTGGTCACATGGCAAAGTGGCAGTGCCAGGATTTCTACACAAATACTCTCAGGCAGGGCCAATGCTCTTTCTATTACTACATGTTGATACTCTATTTTTAGCTGCATTTTAAAATTCTTTTTATATAGGTATAAGAATTAATAATTCACAAATCATGAACCCACAAATACATACATAACTTTGATTTATTTTCCCATCAGAACACTACATAAATATTCAGAAAAATCTACACTATGACCTAATCTAGATGCCATTATTGCCTAGAAAAGATGTTCAGGCTAAGGGGCGAGAATTGATTCTTATGCCAACCTCTGACATAGCTCAGATGTGGTTACTACCACTGCTCCCTTTTACAAGGGAGGGAATTTCAAGTTCTTCCTATATGCTCAGTAATCTTCTAATCTCTGAAAGCAGACTCACTTCAAAACACTCAAAAATTTAATCTTTATCCAGGTGACATTTGCCTAGACAAATCCTTCAGAATGAACATAGAGGGTAGCCCAGTGACTATGTTCTATCCCTACCACACCTTAACTAGCCTCAAGCTACTACATAAAAGGGTAATCTGAAGGCATAGGAATGAGGGCTATTACTCACTCTCTTGTTCCTGCAAGCTGTGAGCCAGGGTGTGGTCCTCCAGGACAGCAAAATCCCGGCACACTGCAGAGCATGAGGGAGGAAGAGCAGACAGGAAGGCTCATTAATAGTACTTTAACAAAAAAACAACTTTGTTTACTTAAAACAATTCTAGGATTTTGAGATGACCAATTTTTTTAACTTACAAAGCATAAAATAGTGTTAATAAAGTAGAAAGTCTTCATTCACAAAAATCCATATAGTGTCTGCTCAGTGCCAAGAACAAGGTGTCACAAAATACTTAGTCCTGGTCCCTTGTCTGAAGTGATAATATTAATCACAGCCATCAGAGCTCTAGGTCTAGACATTCTAATTTACCTCCATAGGGGAGGATAAGTATTGCTAAAATAAGAGAAGATTCAATAATGCTTTATAAATTGAACTGAGAAAAATCTGAGTTCTTGCATGGTCAAAAGAGTCACAAGAAAGCCTTTGCTTTAGTCATCTGCAGTTCAAGCGATTCTCTACTAGAAAAGTTATGTCTATTCCAATGTCTGTAAGGAAAAATAAAATATTCTTAGTCCTACATGTAGAAATAGATTTATACTTCAAGAATAATCACATTCTTTAATGGGAATTGGAGTTTGGTCTCGAGATCTCTCTACACATAAAACTGCCTTATATAATCTACAAACCCAAAGAAAACGAGAACCCTAGAGGAATAAGGAATGTATGCCTAACTTTGTCTCTATCTGAAGATAGAGGCAAAAGCATCTGTTGGCCTGTTTTCTTAGAAAAAATATGGAACATGATGGTCTCTAAGGTCCAGTTTACACCTGCTTCTTTAAATAAACATACAAACAAAACATGAAGTCATGAAAAATTCTATTTCAAGGACATGAGGTTGGGTGGTAAGTTTTCATTCTATTCCAAACATCATGTAACACATGTTTTTGTTTGTTTGTTTGTTTAAAAAGGAAAATTCCCTGAAGTCTCAAATTACTGCAATGGAGGAGACTCAAGAACCCATCCCTGAGAGTCTCTCAGAAGTTTTAGGATCTCTTTCTGCATCTCTGGACTTGCTATTCAGGACACTTAGCTGAAACAGAATGAATATTCCCCTGCTATCTAGGTACTGAAGTATGTTTACATGTACATCACAATAGTTCTGTTCCTCACTGAGAAATAATGCAACAAAGAGTAGGGAGAGCTTGGTGATGTGGCAATTAATTTGAAATTTTTATAGTGAAGGAATCATTCTTGCTCAAGAACCATACTAACCTGAATAGGACCTGCTTACCACTTGCTCAAATGTAACTGCAAAACCAGTAATTCCAATAGAAAGAAAGCTCTATTTTTTCATCAGATATATTCTCAGAAAAATCTAGTACTTGAGGCCCTGGTCCAAATCATTCTATATTTCACCAAATGAACGTGCTGTCAAGATGAGATAGTGAATACCCTCATTTGATAGGTGAGGAATCCAAGGGCCAGAAGGAAGAAGAGTCTTATCAAGGTGACCCATATATAGTGTACTGTGACAGGGCAACGGTCAATGTCTAAGCCAGCCAAGAGCCCTTTCCTTTCCTGACAGCTCTCCTTGATTCTAGGTAAATCATGGTCAGAACACATGAACAGACTTTAGAGAAGAAATTCTATATTAACTAACATTCACTCTCTAAAACACTTAAATCAATATCTAATTTTTAAATTGGATATTGTTCTTATGATCTAATAATAGTGTGGCATACATGATTTGGAAAACATTACTCTGTCAGGAATAGTGGGTAGACACCTGTAATCCTGGCTATTTGGGAGGCTGAGACAGGATAAGTCAGACATGGATTTAATTTATAGACAATAAATATTTGAAATAGATTAACCCAAATGAAGATAACCAAATCATGTGTTAAAAATGCTATCTTAATATATTATTTTATTTTGAAGCACCTTTATTATAATAGAAAAGCTAATGCTTCTATAGTTCATCAATTTTCTTATGTTAATCTTAGAGTAACATTCCTTTTTTTCTTCTTTTCCTTCCCCTCTCCCCACTGTGTTGGGGATCAAATCCAGGGCTTCATGTATGCTCAGCAAGCACTCTACCACCAACCTCCATCCCCAACCCTTTTCACTTATTAAGATAGGGCTTCACTAAATTGCCCAGGCTGGCCTTAAACTTGCAAGTTCTTCTGTCTCAGCCTCCCAAATAGCCAAGATTACAGGTGTCTACCCACTCTTCCTGACAGAGTAATATTTTCCAAATCATGTATGCCACACTATTATTAGATCATAAGAACAATTTACTAATCTGAGACAAGTATTTTAAAAATAAATAAGCTTGGGGCTGGGGTTGTGGCTCAGTGGCAGCACTTGCCTAGCATACTTGAGGCACTCAAGTTTGATCCCAGCACCACATAAAAATAGAAACAAATAAAATAAAGATATTATATATTTCAAGAAAATAAATAAGTAGGCTACAAAATGACAAAGTATACCACATACACAAGAGACTATGGTTTGGAGAAACTATTTTTCAGTTTTATATACATGCTATCCACATAAATATACACAAATGTAAGTGATATGTACTAGGTCACAATGTAAAACATGTATCATTCTGTAGATTATAGACAAAAAAGTTTAGAAGCTCTTCATTTGTTTTTAGGTAAGCAAGTTATGCCAAACTACTCTTAATGTGTTTTTAATGTCACGCTAAAATAAAAATTATAAAACTTTTATAATATAAATACATAACTTACATGTATTTTAGTCCATTAAATATACATATATTTATTTCTTGGATAGCTACACCTATAGTAAAAAAATTAATATATGACGGTGGCACAAACTGAATTCAAAATAGTGGTTATTGCTAGAAAGAGAAGAAAGGAGGTACTAGTGTCTTAGCTGTATATGCTGTTCCTCTGCTTTAAAAACATAAAGGAAACAGGAATTAATTAAAAAAAATACTAACATCTACTTAATTTAATTTGGATGGTAGGTTCTTGGGGATTTTTGCTATTGTAGTTGTGTTCTTTTTATTTTTTGAAATGCTAGGGATCAACTCAGGGCCTCCTGCATTGTAGCCTGAACTATATACCACCCCAGCCTCCACCCCCTGCCAACACAGCTTAGGTTCCTGAGTTTTTGTATTTCCTGTGCTTTTTGTAATGTCTGATATACTGCATTTTAAATTCCATAATTAAATGTTATTTTTTAAATCTACTTCTTTATTTCATGTACAGCATATATTGTAAACCACAAACATGAAGTCATGGTTTGGCATGTCATAACAGTTGAAGAATAATTGATTGCCTTACCATTACTCTTCTTAATGACTTTTTAATGTCCAAACAGGAGGATGGAAGTATATTCAGTTATTGTGATTTGACCCTAAATCTTGAGAACATATTTTGAAGCAGCTGATCTTGTACTCACAAGATATGAATAGGGCTTGTGTTGGAAGAGGCTCTAGAAGATCTTCAATAACTGTTATGAAATATGTATCCCCATACATTCAGAGAGAGCTGTATCATGAGAAACACTGACTTATATAGCACTTCAGAGTTCACTAGGAGTTTCCAATAATTTCTTTTACACCAAACTATTATTTGCCATTTTTGCAATCTACCATTTCCTCCCCTCTGCTTCAAGATCTTCCTTTGTACTCCTTGTATTACTACTCTAATACACGCTGGAAAACAGTCACACATCCAGGCAACTTTGTAAATCAGTAACCAGAACGACATTACAAAAAACTCATCACAACCAGGCCAGGTTTAGACCAGGATGGAACTTTGCTCCTTTTCTCATCTATAGTACTTGGATATAAATAGTATAAATAGTTTATAAAGATAAACAGCATAAACTTACTTCACCACCTTTCCTTGCAAGTACATTTAAGATAAAGCACTGGAACTGGGGCTTTCTTGCTCCCATGTCTCAAACTTTTCCCATCCTTCCCAGGTTCATTACTGTCACTCAGAACTCAGGCTGATCTTTCTACAAGCCAACCCCATCATTATATTCCTCCAACATGCTGCTAAAATGAGTTTCCTCAACATAGTAAATCTCACAATATTCTCCTTTTCCCCACTGAGGCCTCAATGGTCCTGAAACCTCTTTCCTGTGTCCCAAACATTTTTCTAAAGTTAGGGTGTTATGCCTGAGTCTCTTTTGAATACTAAAAACTATACAACTCTGCATCCTTGCTAAGGAAAACACAACAGAAGGAAACATATTTTGTCCTTCAACTGGAGTTCACAGGTATTTCTCCATCCAGTTTGAATTTCTTACAAGGTAGGAACTTTGTGGGGGTGATCTCTGCACCTCCTACACAATTAGTAATGGTACAGTATGACTTCAGGAAATGCTCATAAATTTTTAAAAGAGCAAAGAAGACCTGGTCAATAAAGTCAAAGAATGAGCTCCAGAGACACAAAAATTAAAAATGTCACGAACAAGATAAATCTCTGCCATTATGAGAGCATCACAGACTTGTAAATTATGTCAAATATCATTTAGATAAAATAATTCATAATAAATTACATAAAATTAAAACTCTCCCATTTTCATTAAAAGTTTAGTGATTTTTTAAAATCCAATACATACATGCAACTATACAGCAAATTTGTTTATGTTAAGCCAAGTAAATATCAAAAATGCAAAGGGGGGGCTTGACTGCCACAAATACATTCATATATACATCCCCTATCCATTTTTCTTGAAGAGAAAGATAATTCTCAATCATTTATAGATTCTCCCAAAATACATAAATAAGTACAGTATGCACTTAATAACTACTCACTCAATAAACATGTGCTGAGCTCTTTTCAGGATGAACAACTCATTCCAAATCATCAGAGGTGGAGATGACAGAAAGGTAAAATAGTATAATATAATGTGACAGATGTTACAGTAAAGACCTGAAGTAAATTATTTGAAGGCATAAATATTGGAGCAGTTATGCTGCTTATGAATTCAGAGTGGGTATAAGGAGAGGGGATGACTGAGAGTCACTTGGGTACAGTGTATCAGGAAACCTTAATTAATGTGCAAATGGATCTCAAAGAGAGGTTAAA